GGGGCAGCGTTGGGGCCCCCACCCCACCCTGGGGGGGTCCAGCCAGCGGCACGCGGGGTTTCGGGGCTGCCCGCTGCGGGAGCCTCTTGCCCTGAGCCCCTGGTTCTGTGTCGGGGTGAGAGGGCTGGCGGCTACTGCTGCCGGGCGGCTCTCGAGCTGGTACCTGCGCATGTCGCAGGCTGTACCGCTCTCGGGCAAGGCACGCAGGGGCTGAGGGCCACGGAGATGCTCAGAGGGCTGGAGCACCTCTCCTATGACGAAAGGCTGCAAGAATTGGGCTTGTTCAGCCTGGAGAAGAGGAGGCTCCGAGGAGACCTCATTGCAGCTTTCCAGTATCTGAAGGGGGCCTACAAGGGTGCTGGGGGGAACTTTTTCCAAGAGCCTGTAGTGATAGGACAAGGGGTAATGGGTACGAATTGAAATCAGGGAGGTTTAGATTAGATGTCAGGAAGAAATTCTTCACAGAGAGGGTGGGGAGCACTGGGACAGGTTGTCCAGAGAAGCTGTGGATGCCCCATCCCTGGAAGTGTCCAAGGCCAGGCTGGATGAGGCTTTGAGCAACCTGGTCTAGTGGAAGGTGTCCCTGCCCATGGCAGGGGGGGTGGGACTAGATGGTCTTTAAGGTCCCTTCCAACCCAAACCATTCTGTGATTCTAAGCTGGTGCTTTGCAGGTCGTCGGAGAGCCAGCCAGTTCCTCACCTCCGTATCTAAATTTCTGTAGGCTCTGGGTGGTATTTTCCGGGTAAACACTTTAACTGGGGCTACTTCCAATGCTAGGTTAGGGAAGTTGCCTGCTTTTCTCTAAATTTCATCGTGGAGCGGGGGAGTAGTCACTGCTGTGCTTCAGTCTTTGGGCCGTGGTTGAGCTGCACCTGCGTCAGTACCTTTGGGACTTGATGGCTCCCGTGGCTCACAGATAACAAGAATCTAATCCTTGGCTCCTGTGCTTGTTCCATCAGGTGTCTGCAATGCTTTTTCCCTGGAAATTAAAGCCAGCCCTAAAGTGCGAGCTTTCATTGGGGAACAGGTGTCGCTGAAATGCTCATTCAAATCCAGTTCTCCCATCACTGAGAGCCTGACGGTTGACTGGACGTACCGGCCCCTCACAGGTGGTCAGATGGAGACAGTAAGTGGAACAGGGAGTCTTTATCCCATGGGTAGATCACCAGGTCTCTGAAAATCTGTTTGCCTTGGTGTGCTGCTTCATTCCTTTGTGGTCGGGGACTCTCCTTATCACCTTCTTTCCCACGTGAAATTGCTTTAGTGCTCTCTGGGCAAAAGGAAATATTGTCTGTAAATTCATAACAGCGTGATGATGATAAAGTGGATAGGCCCTGGGGTTTGGCACGAGGGCTGCACTGTATGCTGTAGCTGTATGGAACGATTGTAAGGCATTTGGTAGCTGCCCTGAAGGCAGCTGTGCCATAGTAGTTCTGTGCCGGGTCCACTGCTGATGTATCTTCGAGTGGTAAGAACATGTGTGCAAGGACAGTGTGAAGGCACCGAGGAAGGCAGCCTCCAAGGTTCGTGGGCTGCTGCTCGCTGCCTTGTTGGCAGCGTTTTGAAATCTAAGCATTAGTACGTGAGTCTGAAAGCCCCCTGGAAATCCACTATTGGAGGTGGGAACACAACATGCACATCGTTATGGATTGTCAGTGGCTTCTGCTGCCTGAAGACTTTGAACTCCTGTATCTGAGACAAAAGGGTGCTGCTTGTGTGAAGTGAGGTCTGCTAAGTGTCTGCTCGTAGGACAGCAATAGCAGAAACGCAGGAAGCAAACGCTGAGGAGCTGCGGTGTTGTGTCATGCACGAGACGAGCAGCCTGCTCCGCTTCTCAGCTGAAGATGCACAGGAGCGAACAAGCCGCTCGGGATGGCGACTGGTAGATGAAAGCGTTGGAGATCTAATGGAATGAGACTGATGCAGAATTTTTAAATTGAAAGCTGAAAGGGTCTTCTATATGAAAAGTGTTGTTTCTGGCTTCTTAAAGTGTATTCCTTTATGTTTACAGAAGTAGTTTGCTTTGCTTTCTCAGCTGTTTCATTGGCACAATTCCTGTCTTTGCCTCGTTTTAGGTTTTTCATTACCAGTCTGTTCCGTACCCAACAACAGTGGGAAGGTTCAAGGACAGGATATCCTGGGTTGGGAACGTCGCCAAGGGTGATGCTTCCATCGCTATCCAAAGCCCGGTGACGAATGACAATGGGACGTTCATCTGCAGCGTGAAGAATCCTCCCGATGTGTACCATAACATCCCCCAGACAACGCTGGTGGTTACGGAGAGGGGTAAGCCTCCACTGGGATAGCGCGGCCTCAGCTGGGCGACAGAGCTGCACTGCAGCAACTCGGAGCGTTCCGTGGGGAATGGGTTCCCCGGAGTTCCGTGGCAGAGTTTCAGCCCTGCCTCTTTCTGAGCCAAGTACACGGGGAACTGCTGGATTTAGCGGGGCAGGAAGGGCCCAGAGGAAACTGTGGTAAAAACGGGGAAGCAAAAGTGTGAGTTTGTTCAGGGTTCTGGTCTCCAGGTGCTGCAACTGTCACATCCCGGACACTGGCGCTCAGTAATCCTCCGTTTCCTCATCTGCCCTGTGTGTGACCTGCCCTGCGTGTGACCTGCCCTGGACACGCAGCTGGCAGACCTGCGTCAGGGCCTGCCTGCCTGTGTGGGGTTTCTGCGGACAAAGCGCCCTGCTGCGGTGGATGCGTGACCCGCAAATCTGCTTTCTCCGGAAAGACGAGCAGCCCGTGTCCTGGGAGGATGTTTCCCTCGGAGGCTGAAAAAAGCCATGTTTTGCTGCTGGTACAGCTGGGCTGCTCTTTGTCTCCCCGCAGGCCTCTCCTTCCAGCTGACTTCCGCCGTGCTGCTGTCCACTGTAGTGTTTCTCCCGTCCGTCGTCGTGGTCGTTCTGCTGTTGGTAAGGATGGGAAGGAAATGTGGAGTGCTACAGGAGAAAAAGAAGCCTGGCTGTAAGAAATCCTCCATCGAAGTGTCCGATGAGTAAGTTCTGGCTGGAACCTAAAGCCTGTCTTCCTGCTCTACAGGGCACAGTTATGTCGTGCTCAGCGCCTGCAGGTCAGTCGCTGAACTCTGCGTCTCCTCGAGCATCGCTGAGCCAGCTCTGGAAACTCCCCACGTCGGGGCTTCAGCCGAGTGCTGTACATCCCCTTTTTCTGTCCGTCGTGAGAGGCCGTGGAACCGGAGCCGATTAGGGCCAGGCAGCCTTTCACTTCTCCCACCAGACTGATTTCAGCCTCGGCAGGGTGTTTTGCTTGCGTGCCGTGTTTCGGTAGGAAGTCGCCCTCCCAGCAGAACCAAGTCAGCAACGCCAGCTGGTTCCGCGGTGGTGGCCCGGGCAGAGATGCCGGGGCCTCAACGAGCCTCGGAGACTGAATTCCCTTTGGAGGTGGAGAGGGCTCAGTAGTGGGAGCGAGGCAATAACACCGCTGCTGCTGGAGCTGCACCTCTTTTTCCGGTGAATTCAGTGCTACGGTGTGCTGCAGAGTGGGTGTTTAACCCCGTGTTCTGCTCAGCGTTGTAAGGTTTCCCACCCAAACAGCAGCTCTCGTTGTGCCCTTCGTGGCACTTGAGTGAAACATCAGCCTTCGAAACACGGGACCGGAGATTCTTTGTTGGGTTTGGTTTTGCTGTGCAGGGTCACCCTTCTCTTGAGTGTGGCAGGACTGGGATTCGCGGTCCGTCGGAGGTGGGAGTGTGTGAGCTGGGGCCGGGTCCAACCTAACCATCTGCGTTCTCTGCAGGCCTGAACGACCGGAGACAGACGGCTGCATGAGGAAACTCAGAGACTGCTGTCTGAACTGCGTGGTAAGTGAAAGCTGCTGTTTTCCTGTGGTTTTGCCAACTTTGGGCTCAGAGGAGGCGCTGAGGGAGCGGGTGGAGCTTGGCGGAACACCGCTGGATGTCAGACGGTGTCTCAGACGGTGAGGCCTGTGCTCCTCGGCGTTGTCCACGCGCGGGCTGCAGGGGTGAGAGCGGCCGGTCGCGCTGCGCGACTGGCAGGGAAGCTGTCTCCGGATCCACCCGATGGGTTTTTCGTTTGACCTGGCTGAAATCAAACTGACGTTTGAGGATGAAAATTCGGAATTGGAGGCAGCGATACCTCGCTCTGCTATTTGTTGCAAAGATGGTGGTGTGCGGCCTTGCCTCTCTCTTGGAGATCTTCCAGCTGACGCTGTTTTCATCACAACATAATCCTGCCAAACTCCCGTGGCTTGTTTATCCCTGTCTTGTTTGTTTTGCCTTGTGAAGTGGTGGCTGCCTTCTAATTCTGCATGTTCACCTGCTACCCTATTAGCAAGCTCCTGCTAACGAGCTGTGTTGTGCTGAGACCTCCGCGTGCTTTCACCGCCCGCCGTACTCGTCTGCGCGCTGGCGTTGGCAGCCACGGCCCCGAGCGTGGGGCGCTCAGAGTAAGGTCACTAATGGGCCTAGTTTGGGTGTTTTCGTTGTTTCCTGACGTCCTACAGAGCAAGCAGACACACCTTTGCATCTTCGGTATGTGGTCAGGACGTACGTTAGGAGGATTTAACTACTTGTTGCTTGGTTCTAGTGCTGGTGACTTTGAATGCACGGAAGGCATGAGCCTCCAGGTCGGTGTGCGCTGTTTCTGTGCCGTGTTAGGTACGAGCAGTTGCACCTGTCACGTGGGAAGTGTTCACGGTTCTGCCTAACACGCAGCAGCCTCAGGAACAAGAGTTTTGAGAGGTGCAGCAAACCCTTTCCACAGTGGGGAGAGTCGCCTGGAATGGAAGGGGGAGTGGGGAGGCGCCGCTGCCTCGCTGCAGGTGGAGAGTTGGGAAAGGATGAGAGCCCCAGCGCAGAGAGACAAATGCTGTCAGACAGTTGGAGGTGTCACCAATTGGAAAACATCTTCTCATCCTCGGGGAGAAGGCAGACTTGAGTGCTGTTATCCTGCTGCTGTCATAGTGAGGGTGTTGTCATCTGTTTCATACTTTGCTCTCCGATATCGAAATATTTAGCTTGCCAAGTCTCTGAACATCCCGTCTCTCTCACTTTAACGACTCTAAATTTTTGAGGTCTCTGCCGTGCACTTTCACGTGGCTAACGTGTTACCAAATAATTACAGTCGCTCAGCCGGTGAAAATCGGGAGTTAATGTGGTAGTGAGGTTTCCCCGATGGAGCTGCTGTGTCTGGGTTCCTTTCGGGTTGAGGGCTGCAGAGCTGACTGTGGGGTTACTGTAGGTAAAACAACAGGTGATGGGGGTCTGAAAGTCTGTGGTTGGTTGTAGCTGAACACCAACAACCTGCGCTGCTCCGGACCTTCTCCATAGGCCTCGGTGGTGCTTTTTTACGTAGTCTTCGCTGTATGGCTAGTCCTTTAGCAGCTGTAGCTGCTGCTTCTCTTGAGGCACGCGTCACGTGTGGGTTATACAGCGGCGGTTTGTGTATCTGTGACGGGTCAAACGGTCTGGCTGTAGGTGCTTCCGTGCCTCCGAGCCCTGCGGCTTGTTCAGGCACAGCAGCAGCTGGGAAAGTGCGGAAGCTCTTGTCGGGAGCCTGGCGGGCTCACGTTTGTTGAACCCTGACTCGGTTCACGTCTTCATACGTCGTCTCAATTTCTCTCTCTGTACTCCCTGTTTAGGACACAGACGAGGAAGACCTGTACTGAGGAAAGACTCAAGCTGTGGATAAAGAACAAAATTACAGCACTGAGAATCATGGCTAGACAGGTGCGGAGGCTGCTGGATGACCGTGCAGCTGGAAGGATCTGCTCTAACCTTGCTAGATGGGAAGAATAATGCCAATGGGATGATTCACTTTTATTGAAGCACAAAATAATGATTTTTTGGAAATCTTCCTAATTTATTGGGGCGGAGGAAAAAAAAAAACCCCAAATCTCTTCACCTCACTTCTCCAGTGCCTGCGGAACCCTCGGTGCCTACAGCTGCGCAGCCGGTTGCCTGCCAGCCGTCTGCCAGTGCCCCTTTCTGAGTTCACCTGCCAATTTGTTTCCTTTCTCATGGGTGACATCCCTCCTCTCCTGGGCCCCTGAGTTGGAATTGCCTGCAGCACGGCCTACTCCAGAGCCAGGTCAGCTCTCCGAGGTGATCATCACTGGGCATTGACAACATCTCCGTGGTTTTGGAACGCAAGGACTTGAAACAGTTTGGATAAGTTGGCATATGGCATCCTTTGTCTTGGAGCAAGGAGAACCTGCTGCTTTTTAACTCTTTCTGGCTTTCATCTGCCACTTAATGACAGCATCACCACTGTCCTGCTGTTTCTGGGTTGTCAGCCGCGCGGCAGCGTTACCTTACGCTGAGTTTCAGCTTTGTTTTAGTCGTTTGTCCAACAGCTGCATTACTCGGTTCATCTCCTTCTACGTGTAAAACTAAGTTCATGAAATCAGAAATGCGAATGGGGACTCTGTATCTGGGGAAACATAACCCCATCTACCTCAACCGTTGGCTCAGCAGCATCCAAAGGAGCGTTGTCACGTTCCTCCTCTCTTCTTCTGGGTACCGTTTCGGGGAAACGGCTGAACACGCCTCGTCACTGTGCGGGAAGGAGGACTACTCTCTCTCTCGCCCACCTTATCCAATAAAAGGGGGTAGAGAGCAGCGCCATTCCTGTCTGCTCGCTACCCAACAGCTGCTGGTTTCCGCTTCCTTTCAGTGTGCGGCCTTGGGCAAACCTTTTGTCACCGTGTCCCGAGTTCGCTCTTGACTTGGGTGTGCCATCGCCAATAAATCGCTTTGTTTCATTCCGGGCCCTGGATTTCTTTATTTTGGCTTAATATGGCTAAATGTAGCCGTCAGAGCGCCACCCCGCGTTGCTGCTGCTTTGCTGTCAAGGCTGTCGTACCGGGGCGGGGAAAGGTGCTTAGGGAACAGACTCGCTCGGAGGGGGATGGGTACCGCATCCCCCTTTCGCTGCCCTGCGGTGGTGGCCGGTTACGGTGATGTGCAAGGCCCCGGCTGCAGAGCAGCTTAGCTCTAGGGCTGTGTCCTACGCAGAAAACACGTTTTTCTCCTGTCTGTTTTAAAGCAGTATTGTTAAAAGCTTGTGCTTCCTGGTGACACGCCGTCTCTCCCGCCTGGAACTTCCCTGAGAAATGCTGTTGGTGGGATGTGGAGGCTGGGGGAGGTGGCGTTGCTGTTCTGCGTTCAGCGGCAGTGCGCTGCTCGGGTTCTCTGTGGGAACGAGGGATTTCCGGAACTTCCCTGAGAAAGGCTGTTGGTGGGATGTGGAGGCTGGAGGAGGTGGCACTGCTGTTCTGCGTTCAGCGACGGTGCGCTGCTCAGGTTCTCTGTGGGAACGAGGGATTTCATGTTTTCTGCAAAACGTTGGCCCTCGCTGCGGCTCCTCTGCAAAGCGTGGGCAGGTCTTTCTGGTGCGAAGCGAATGGCGTTCTGGGTTGTGAATGGTGCCGGGCATGAGTAAGACTGGGCTTTCTCTTCCTTTGCCGGCTGTGTGGAAGCTGCTCCCTGTACCATTAAAACCACAGATACTGGGATAGAGAAGTGATTGCTGTGGTACCCAGGGGAAGAGGAAGGATGAAAATATGCTTTCAGAGTGAGTGTGGGGGTGCCAGCTGGAAGCAGTCCATGATGTGTAGCTGCTGTGTGTTGGAAAAGGGAGCAGCTGGCTGTGCTGTGCAAAGGGGGTTGGCTGGGGACCCCCGTC